ACAGTGCATTAAGAGGTCTTGGTTGTATTAAATATTTTGTTTTTAATTTCAAGTATCAAGTAATAGAAACTTTGATAATTATTTTATTAACAGGTCTTTTAGCATTTGCCATGGAGCGTCAGGATATTGCTGCAGTATTCAGAGAATAAAACTCTACCTTGGTAAGTCATTATAGCAATTTTTAAGAGTGACCAGCATCTAATTTTGCCTTACAATATCTCCCCTGAGTCAAACATAAAGGCTCTGAGAACAAAAAAAATGATCACTAAATAAAGAAGCTTTTGACATCTTGTTAAATAAATTCTCCAAGTCAGCAACTAAAGAAATGTATATAGAACCGTATGGAGAATATGCATACTGATGTTAGGGTGACAAGGGGTTTTTAAAATATTACACCTTAGCTTTGTGTTTAACAGCATTTGTTTTCCAAAAGTCAGAGTGTTTAGTTGGGTTTATACTACTCAGGAATTGTCTTTTGTCACTCATGGCATTTTTTGTTTAGAACACCTTTTTTAAACTATACGCTGAGGATTAAATGTTGAATTTCACATGTTTAGGTTCCCTGTATGCTGTGGCAGCTGCACATTTTAAAGGACTTGTCAGACCTTACACAGTCCCTTGTGACAGAACTGTTAAACAGGATTATCCTGAAAGCAAAGACAAACAGGAACAAGAGGGAAAACAGTAACATTGTGAGTAATAAAGTAAAGAAAGTGAATCTTGCTGAGCCAGGCCATCATGCACAGTGCCACCAAATGGTGAAACATCTGGTTTGTGTAATAGAGAAGTGGAAGAAGCAAATAGACAATGGAAAGGGTTAGTTCACTTTTTGAGTATTGTAACTCAGATTGCCCCTCTGTCAGTGATTGAATCTTCTAACAACTTTAAGTTGATTTAAGTGTCTTTTCAAACTGAGTGGTATGACTGGTTTGCAACTTGTAGGCTCAATTATTCTCCTTTGGGTTTTCACTTTGACAGCCAAGGCAGTACTTTCAGTAAGACCCAGCACCAGTAGGAGCTCCAGCATGTAGTCTGTGGTGAATTGCCAGTTATACTCTGGGCGCTTTCATGCAAACTCACGATGTGAGACCTAAAACACCTCGAGATCTTCCAGAGTTCTTTCAGTCAACTTTTATCTTTATAAATGAGTTTTGATAAAATGATTGGTATTTTCTTATCATATATTCTAGCATACATTTCATACATTTCCAGCAAAAAAAAAGATATTTTGAGTTTCCAACAGCAGTCTGACTCAAATTTTGGTAAACATTTACCATATATCCTTTCAGAGGACTTTTTGTGTGAAACTCAGGGAGCAGGCTTGCATGTCTGGGGATGGAAAATTTTGATCAGTACTTAGTGGATCAGCAATTCATGCTCTGTGGCTCTTTACGAAAACTTTAGTTTATCTGAACTCATCTCTGAATCCCTTACTGTTGGAAAATCACAGAAGTGAGAAAGGCAGTAAAAGACACAGCCAGGACGTTTTGTTGTTGTTCGTGATTCGAGGTCGCCTGCATTTATGTGGAAAAACTTCCGTGTCCTTAAAGAAATAATTTTTTGCAAATTTTTATATTAATCAATAAGGAATCACTGAATGCTCACAAGCAATTGCACTTACAGAGTCGAAAACTCTATTGCAATATGAGGAGGAATACAAATTTCTTTTTCTTTTCCATGTTCTATTTACAGGAAGGGGAATAATAAGAAGAGGAAGACATAACATCAATTAGTCTCTTTTTTTTGCCATGAAATACAATGAGATATTGTTTGAGAATTGATTCTTTATCTATTTTGGACGGGTTTCTAATATTTATTTAAAGATCGCCCATGCATAAACAAAATTAATAAATAAACGTTAATTGTGGACTTGTCTTTGCTCGATATGCCCTGTTCTCTCATGCGTAAATCTAATAACTCGCATATTGACTAAACAAACCGTTTTCAGCGAAGTACGAAGCAACTCTGTCGAATAAAACCTTAAAAGAGTCTACCCCGTACATTTGTGCGGCCCCTTTAGTCCTATTGCCGGCGGCGCTTTTAAACAAGTAAGGTTGTTATTTTCTTTTCCTTTTTGGCCGCCTCAGTTATTGCTGACTTCTCTATACAGTCACAGTGAACCACTGCTTTCTTTTGCATTTTTGGCCTCTTTCAGTTGACTTTTCCCCACAATCAGGAGGAAAAACGTCAAGATGAATATGTCTAACCTTTATTTTAAAATGCGTCATGCTTGAATATCAAATAAGACTAAATTAAACATCTCGCAAATTGAGGAAGCCACAAAAATGGCTGATTGGTAATTAAATGGCTTATATTTTGGTATTAGTAAATTCGAGAATAACAAAAAACGAGATTTAGCCAAACTTTAAGTTCTCTTGAACTTTAACTTTATGATGAAAACACAAGCGTGCGTCTCAGCCCTTATCAATGTTGAACAAAATTTTTTTTTCCACAAACAGTTCACATCTGCTTCCAAAAACAAAGCGTGGAATGTGTAATGATGTATCACGAATAAATCATTCACAAGAGCTCTAGAATATACTCTGGGCCATTTTGGCAATAGTCTTGGTTTTAAGGGCCTGATGAATGACTCAATAGCTTAGTCATGAAAACCGGTTACGCTCACACAGAAAGGCACAATCCGTCTCCTGACGGTTTTCAAGAGGTATTACGTGTTTACTTATCAGTACCTGTTATAGTATTTAGCTAGAGACTGGCAAATTGGGTCATCAATTTTTAATCGCATAAATAGACCGTTTTTGGTTGACAGATATGCCAGCCTGCTTGTTTTGATAACACCAAGGGTAATGATATATGATTATTGACACAGTTATTGTTGTGCGTGTGCTGGTGTTTGGTGGTCAGCCAAGACCTTTCAAATTTATTTATATTTCCTTTATTGACATTAATTTTACAAGATATGGATAGAAAAATGATTCATTTTCCAGTGTTGTCTTTTCTGAAACGTTTGCATTATCACGATAAGTTGTGATGCTAATCGCTACACTGGAAATTTATCAAATGTTTATTATTTCTTAACTCTTCACCGAGGTAGATTTAACTAGAGGTGGATATTTACCAAGCTGCGAAGCGGAGATGTAAACACCCACCTCTTGCCACCGCACTTAAATGACTGTTTTAGTGTATACTTTAATACTATGAGATAAAATGATGCAAAAAGATGATTTTGATTAATTTATTCCTGCAGTCTCAACTTTTTTGGGCGCAAATCCCGTGGAGGTGAATGGAGAAGGATGAGCGAAGTTACGTTTTAGTGATTACTTTTGGCTTCTTTATATTCATTTTGAGTGGGTCGAAATATGTCAGATTTTCGGGAGGTTCAAATAAAAACATACTTAAATTTAATTTCGTGTACAAAAATTTCAAAACCCTATCTAAACGATAAATACTTCCTACAACGTATCCTCAACAGCCAAATAGACAAATACCGAAATAAAAGACATGAACCAAAATTGTGTAGATTGACGTCAGAGTCCCTACTGATCTTTTATCGACGATCATGGTTTTACTTCACTTTAATTTAAAGGACACTCCACGTCTCAGAAAAAATTATTGTCTTCGCCCAGCCTTGAACTGGGAAAGAAATCTGAAGTTTAGCATCATCCAATAATATTCAGTAAAACAAGATTGAGGGGCATATGAAAAGTCATTTACATATATTCTGAATAAGACAAGTCATGGAACAACCGCTTGTGGCACTCTGGATTCAAAGACCAGAGGGTCAGAGAACTCAGAATTTATGAGCACTACTTGTTGTCTATCAGATGGATTAATGATGAACTAAGCCACACCGAAATGCCATCGTTAATCTTGGCAAAGGCCTTGCTCATGTCAAGAAACACAACGAAAAACAGTATTCCTAACAGGGTAAATATTCATTGTGACTTGGGAGAGATCAACATGTCCATTATTGTTCTTCTTTTCAATGCACTTACAATACCAGGAACAACACTCACAAATTTACGCAAAATTTCTGACCAGATCAATTATAAAAATTATCTTAACAGCAATTTCTTTTCCTTTTTTTTTCTTGTCTCTATCAGCCTACAGTCAATAACAACAACAAAGCACTGACAAGTGCACCAAGCGAATAAACGGTAAACTAAGAAATGCAAAAGTGAAGTAAATAAACAAGTTTTTTTTTCCAAGAAAATTCCATCTAACCTCCATTTATAAACTATGAAAATGGTTATCATCACTACCAAAGCATTAATAAAGTAAAAGTACGATAGAAACTACATCTTAAAATCCAAAGCTATGAAATATTGAGGCTGAAGTTCTCGAAATCTAAACTACAAATTACCACAGAGTGTTATAAGACTACAACCTTGGAGGTTCAGCAATTCTGCTATTAAGCCTCAGTCCTGCACAAGAGGAGTTACTTCAGATGACTCCTCGTCTTCGTCACTTCCAGTTTCGTCTTTATCTGCAGCAGTAAGTTGATTACCATCATACTCTTGTGCGCCAGCCTCCCCGTCAAGAAGGTCTACAGCATCACTTTGGTCGTCCATATAGTTTCCAAGATCGTCTTGTTCATCCTTCGTGTACTTTAGTTGGCAAGTCTCAGGTTCTTCTTCTACTGCCTCCTTTTCAGATTGAACTGCTACAGCACCTTCATAATCAACGTTATTTTCAGGTTCACTTGTTACACCTTCTTCGTCATCAATTTGAATATCTGGAGGGAAGACGGAATCACTGTGGCCTTCTTTTTCGCTCAGGGGATTGTATTCTAAAGAATCAAGATCTTCTTCCTCCATCACACAAGGGAATGGTGAGGTATCAGGTTTGTTCACCTCATTTGCGGAGCGTGCTAAAGAGTTAGGATCTTCTTTTTCAGTAACAGAAAGGCTTCCTGTGGCTTCGAAATCTTCTTCCCCAGTTACAGGGGAGCATGCTGAGTTATTGGAATCTTCTTCCTCACCCATAAGGGGGCATGCTAAAGAATCAGAATTTTCTTCGTCAGTCACAAGAGGACATACTGAAGCATCTAGACCGTTTTGGTCCATCACCAGGGAGGATGGTGAAGGATCAATTTCTTCTCCCTCAATCGCAAGAGGGCACTTTGAGTCATCAACATCTTCTTCCTCGTTCTCGCTAAGGTATAATAATGTTTATTTCTTATATTGCGCAGTCTAGCATGCGATAAAGATATGATCGAGTGCAATGGTATGGTAAAGTGTCAAAGGGTACGCTGGGGTGTCAATATCTTTCTTATCACTCTCAAAAGGGTATACTATGCAACCTTCTTCTCCTACTTTGATTCCGAGAGGGAAAGCTGTAGCACCATCGTCAATTCCAACCATAGAGGGATGTGCCGTAGCACCGTACTTACCCACTTCACGGGCGAGATTTCCTGCGGCTGCCCCTTTGTCTTGTAAGTTAATAGCGAAGGGGAAAGCTGTAGCACCATCGTCAATTGCAACCACAAAGGGATGTGCAGCAGCACCGTGCTTACCCACTTCATGGGCGAGATTTGCTGCAGCTGCCCCTTTGTCTTGTAAGTTAACAGCGAAGGGGAAAGCTGTAGCAACATCGTCAATTGCAACCACAAAGGAATGTCCAGCAGCACCGTGCTTACCCACTTCATGAGCGAGATTTGCTGCAGCTGCCCCTGTATCTTGTACGTTAATAGCGAAAGGGAAAGCTTGAGCACCATCGTCTATTGCAATCACAAAAGAATGTGTCGTAGCACCGTGTTCACCCACTTCACGGTCGGGATCTGTTGCAGGTGCTCCTTCGTCTCCTACGTTAATTCCGAGAGGGAATGCTGTAGCATCATCGTCCACTGCAACCAGAAAGGGATGTGCCGTAGCACCGTGTTCACTCACTTCACCGATGGGATTTGCTGCAGCAACTCCTAGCTCGTCCGGTCCTGCATCTTCTGGGTTTGCAAGAGCTCCACGGTCATCGACAAAGTTGTACTTATCCTCATCATACTTGTCATCGTCAAAGATATCTACATATGTCTATGAAAAAGATTAGAAGGTAATCAGGAACTGCATGAGTTAAAAAATCTTCAACGAATGAATTTCAAAAATTCAATAAAGAAATTACAAAAATGAGTCACTAAAAAGAAAAAAAATAGCAGATCAGATATCAATCACAAAGACAAGAACCATTAGTACTTGCATGAATTGATAAGAATAAAAGTCAGGTAAGGTCTTCCTTTCTGTCAAAGTTTTCCAAAAGTGTAATTTTAAGATCTGTTCCGTTCTTTCTTGTGTGTAGACAACAGAGGGAAAATAAGGATGATCCAGACTGACATGACGTAACCACACTTGCGTATGTTTAAAAATAACATTGGTTCATAATGAAACTGAATTACAAATTGTTAGCGGCTGGGTAGTTAATGCGTTTTGACATCACATTATTGACGAACAAAGAAATTCGCAATTGACTTGGTAGGACACCAATTTCAATTGCTGAAGTATATTCTAAATTAGACGCTGTATGGCAAACCTTCGTTTTAATATATGTATCCATTGTTCGGTAGAGCTTCACAAAGTGTGGCCGGCTGGCCCTTTCGTATTTCCAGCACTTTAACATCACCGCGTATCTATAGAAAAACACAGGGACATATGATTACAGTAAATTCGCGATAGGCATTGCAATAGCAAAGTTGAGAAACCACAACTAGTTACAAAAATACCTGAAATCCTAAGTTTATCTCATTACATTGCAGCTCAAACGAATTATGGGATGAAAAATCCACCGTATTCTTTATTCGACACAACAACATTTCATTTTAATTTTTGTATTGACATTGGATCTGTTTAGCAAACAGTACCATGTCATGTTAACAAGTGGTCGACCCTTCCGACCCCATGATGATATTGGTCGAAAACCCCCCTGGATTTTCTGAGATAACCCAGCAAGTCACCTCGCCACAGGTACTCCATGATAAGTATTGGCTGAGCTAAAAGGGAAAAACAAGAAAATTATTTTACGGCAAGCAGTGCAGAAGTTCCAAAACGTGTTTGAATTGTACATGCTTTATCTAGTTATACATTAGGTTATATCTGTAATGAATCAAAGTAGAGACAGAGAGGGAAAGTAAAAGAAGAAAAAACGCAGATAGAAAATAGACGGACACATACGGCAGATAGAAATCTACAGACAGACAGACAGACAGACAGATAAACGGAGAGACAGAAAAACAGAGATGACTGATAAATAGACAAAGACTTGCCATCGTAAGTTAAAACTTTTATCTCAATTAGCATGTAGATTTTAAAGCTAAAATCTTCCAAGTAAAATTCCCCACATACAGTGCGAAGTAAATTTCTTTAAAACAGTCAAAAAAATGAAATAACCATCGAGTTAGTACACCATATTAGCAATACTGATAGAAGTAATTGTACCAGTGGTTGGCCTCAGATATGTTTTTCTCGTTACTGTGAATTAGCTGATTATAATCATAACAGTAGCTGATTACCTCCAACTGTAACACAACCAATGAACTTAACAACATTTTCATGGCCCTCCCTTCCAAAGAGTTTTAGTAACTCGATCTCTCTCAGCAGGGCCTTCCTTCCTTCCTCTCCGGAGATTGCTAGGAAACCGCACAAAAATTATATAAACAAACAAAGTTTGCATGTCGAGAGAGACACAATTATGTGGTAAACATCCACATCTAGAATTGTTGTATACTTGGTGTTATAGTACCGGCGCAAATTATCATGCATTTGGTCTACATAAAAAAAAAAGTTTACTAAACTCCATATAATCCATACTTGCCACAAAAATGTCAGTTAGCCGTATTGTTCAATTGTATTGAACATGAAATTTGCAAAATAGATTCATCCTCGTTGAAAAAATTATTTGTTACGAACACGCTGCTCATCTCGAGCATTGTTATTAACTAGTCAAGCTCACTGAACCGCACAATTGTTTACAGATAACTTACAAAAGTAGAGACGCAATGAAATTCCATCTGCTATAATACCTAATAGTCAGTCGAATAGATATTTGAGACAGTTTTTTTTAAATATATGCTCTGTTTGCACCTTCTTGTTTCCTACCGTTCATAAATTACATAATCCTTGCTTTTATCTTATTAAAAGCTGCAATAATTCGTAAGCACTCCCAGAGTTATTGTAAATTCATTTGACTCTGTGAGCTTGTTACAGTCGAACCTGTATTTAGCGGTCACGCACGGAAAATGGTTGACCGTTTAACATAGGTTCCACGGAATAGGGCTACTATTGATAAAAGTTAAAATACGCCATTCTATGCCATCACGGACCGCATAACCTACACAACCTCGCTCAAAAATATTACTAATATTGATTTCGGGAGATAAACATGGATTTAATTTTACTTGAAAGATTATTCTTAATTTTATTTGAGTACTTCCGCTTTAGTGACCGTTCAATAAAGGTGGGGAACATTACAAACAGGTTGTTGGGACTTAGTAAAGGGTGACCACAACCGCTTGATATAAAAAGTACTATAGGTAAAATGGGAAAGTTTCGGGATTTTCAAAACTGACCGCCTATTACAAGGTGACCGCATCATACAGGTTCCACTGCACTGTGATTTTCAGCTTTTCCAGCGGAAGAAGATTATACTGCCACCACTAGTCTGGCAAATTGCTTCGAGTTTTTTTCGCTAGACTCACCCTCTCAAGGTTTCTTTGAGATCTCATGACATTATTTTCCATCAAAAGTTTCTAAGCGGGCAACTTTGCAAAATATACGACGGAGTGACATTTTTAGTATTGTAGTATTTCCGCTTTTATACACTTGAATGCAACTAAGTCAATAAATGTTCATTTTTCTCCACAGCTTCTAATACTCCAAATGATATTCGTGTTCTGTTGTATTTTAGTAGCGTTGTATGACAAAAGACTTAACAACTGGTCCCCCGGGGAACCATCCGCTAACAGTTTGACATGCCAGCTGGTAAATCATTAGAGCGCATAGTTTTTAAGCTATCCATGTTATGTATCAGGTAGGTTAATAAAGCACGTTCTAAGAGAAATATTCTTTATTGAGATGAAACACATAAAAAATTAATAAAGGATAGTTCAATCAAGCTTTGTACGAAAGAAAGACCTAAAAAAAGTACTTACGTAGGTAGCATTTCGCAGCAGCTGTGCGATTTCCAGGTCTGTCGCGGGAACGACCCAGTAGCGCTTGCCACACTGAACCAAATGCCTCTTTGACAATAGGCTCGCGAAGGTTCAGGCGGTCAACTGCAATCTCCCATCCATCTGTGTTTGCGTTCAGCTGATCCATCTCATCTTCATCTTCCCCTTCACTGAATAATTGCAGATGAAAACAAGACTTAAACTATCTGTGTTACCGATCTATCTTTTCCTTCTTTGAATCTGGTTTAACGTAACGTGGTAAAGATGTCCTCTATATCTTCACTTTTTTTTTTTTTCATTTCAATTTTCATTTCAATTTTCATTTCATTTCCGGGTGCTTCAGAAAATTATCACTTGTAAAATTTGGATACCAATTTACTGAATCCGTTTTTTCGACTCATTGACCCAGAGGGAAGATTTTATTGAAAAAAAAAAGATTGAATAAACCTCGCATGAAGATAACCTAGCGCCGACTCATTTGGATTTTTACGTTAGTATCCTTCACATCTTTAGGATTTCCTTTCATTCTATTGTGACCTTAATATCTCTTGCACTTTTAGTATTCTCTTCCATTGGATTTCTTACCTTAATACTTTGCACACTTTTAGGATTCTTTTTCATAGAAGTGTTGCATTAGAATGTCAGATGCACTCTTGGGCTACTCCTTCATTGGAAAGGTATATTAGTATTTTGCGCATTTAGGTTTGGCTTAAATTCGATTATTACGTTGATATCTCGCGTACCTTTAGGGTTCTCTTGCATTGGATTGCTAAGTAAGAATCGCTTAGACCTTTAAGATTTTCTTTCATTCAATTGTTACGTTGATATCTTGCGCACTCTCAGAATTCTCTTAGATTGGATTTTTGTTTTAAGATCAGGCACGCTTTTTGGATTCTTTTTCATTGGATTTTTAAGTTAGATTCGCACGCACTTTTAGAATGCTGATCGTCAAATTGGTATCTTTCACACTTTTAGGATTCTCCTTTTTCCGTGATATATATGGACGGTTTGTGTCATTTGTCCCCCCTCTCCCAGATATTTTACTGTTGCTATCCTCGTGGGATTTGCAGGCGTTTGTTTGGAAAAAAAGTAAGAAAGGAAGTGAGACAAACTATAATCATCTTCACGTCCGTCAGTGCTTCATTGTATGTATTTACCTATGTTTGTTTCATTTATTTTTTTTTACGTTTGTCTGGTAGTTACCTAAGTTATACATTTCACTAATTTCTGTTTTGAAGAAATTAATGGAATGTTCTTTAGAAAGACATGCCAACTTTACAAACATGAAACAAATTGATAATTCGGAAAAAAGTCGTTTTTTTTCTCAATTCAAGTCCAGATTGACTCGAGGTCATTGGAAATTTCATAAAGCACTTCCTCATGTGGTTACTTAGATTTCTTCTATTATGTACACTCCGAGGTTTACAAGGCTACACGTTGGATCTGAGATGATAATTCATAAGCTGCGATGAATCGTTAATAAAAAAAAACAATATTGATTAGATAAACAATAATATAAAAAATAGCAATAATAATAATAATAATAATGATAATGGTAATAATCATAATAATTCTATTAAATGATAAAAAGTTGCGATTGTCTTTGGCCGGCATAGTATTGTATCAAAGGAAAGATAAATCGCAGAAATATATGCCTTGTCAGTCAATCTGGATTGAAACGCCTCAGCAATACTGTGGATCAGAACATTGATAACAGAGGCATTTACAACTTATCCTTCCATTGAGTCTTCAAATTGTCGAATAAGTTAAAAAAATATTGCTCTTTCTTCCACTGCCAGTGTATTTCATTACTGCCAAACATCGACAAATCCTAACTGACTCCTTTGTTATTATGATGACAAACTTGAAGGTCTCCTTAGACAAACACACAGTTCTAAACAGACCAGTAAAGCATGCATCAACGACACAACCATCTATAGCTTCGTCCGCAGGTGTGAAAAGCTGAGAATGCGAATATCTCAATTAGTGATATCCATGGAAATGCTATTTTGTAGATGTGGCCATCGCTTCAGCCTAATGACGTCATCCAAAAGTTTAATGAGGATACGGAATGGTTACAATCTAAATTGACTTGTTAATCAATAAATAGTCATAAGATAAGCCTCTAGTCTTTTTATTGCAGATATTAAATAGAGTGTTTTACATTATGTTCGATACAACTTATTGTGTTTGGAAATTGTGACAAAAATTAAACGCTCATACGTGCTCTCATTTCGTCAAGTTTTTAAACGAGCATTCCATTTTGCCATAGCAAAATTTTTTCCGTTTACCACCGTACGCACCCTTTAAATGGCGTTTTTTTTTCTCATACAAATAGAATACACTTAAGAAAATTATTAATTTGATTAACTCACACTCTATTAAGACGGTTCTCTCCGTTTATGACAAAAGCCTTTGATACTAAGAGCAAAATGTTAATTATCAATAACAGTGCAATCGCTTGTTTTCAAATAAAAGTAACTTGAAAGTTGAACAAATCACCAGAAGTGATGCAATATATAATTTAAAGAAGATACTTCGTTAAGTGATACCTCGGTGCTAATTAATACCACACGACTAATTCATTTCCGAACTACAAAATATTACCAAATTTCAGGAGATCTCTTACTAGGTCTGCCACAAACAAATTTACAAAATGGTTTCACAATACAACAATGAAAAGTTTGCAAATTACAGCTATCTGCAGAAACGAGCTGTTTTTCAAGTTGGCTGTTTTTTGTTTCTTTCTTTCTTTCTCTTCTTATTTTTGTGGTAACGGAAAATTAATTCATATCTATCCAATTTTCCTTATTCTGAAACCGATTAAATTATTTATTATTAGCATTCTTTAAGAATTAATTTATTGGTTTTTTGTGCTTTTATTACTATCATTTTGTTAATCAATGACAAAGCTTTCGCATATTCTCCTAATACTTATATGGAGAGAAATTTAACTAACACAAACCTACACTGACTTAGTTTACCACTGAGAAGTAACGATTATGTACCCTAACGACGGTCACTGGCCCATTTTCCCAATCTCTTAGCAGAGGCCGTCTTTGCAACTTCCTCACTTGGTCCTGCGTGTTCATCTCCGAGATCTTCAACCCTGGAGTATTTTGCCTTGTCATAAGCGCCCAAGTTAAGAAGTTCCACGTATGTCTTAGGAAAAAAGTAACAAATGAGGGTAATACATTAGCTGCAGAGCGTTAAAACACTGGAAAGTCAAGCTGAAAAGTGCGATCACTTCCCCGGCGAACTGAGAATCTCTTTGGTTCAAAGTCGCGGATATACTAAGTGAGTTTCCTATTTCCTCTCTGAAAATAGAGAAGTTGCAAGTAGGTGGGTAGAACTGACCAGATTTATGCCCTGAGGACGATAACAACCGCCATAAATATCAGAAGGAGCCAACAAGTTGAAATGCCCGTAAATGGCCTGACGGGCTGGAAAATGTCTCTTATCAGAAGTATGAATGGTCTCAGCTGAAGCTTTTATAAAGCGACCGGAAATAAAACCAAAGCTACTAAGTATTGCTCCCAACACATGGGGCAAGGTAAGAAGTTTGAAAAGCTTTCGAGTCTTTAAAAAGCAAAAAATATGAGGAAGTTGTCAATTCTAGAAACAAACCTCTTCACGAATGTATTTGTCCATTCTTTGTCGCAGGCTTTCAAAAGGAGGACGGAAGTCAGGGTTACGGTTCCAGCACCTTTTCATGATATCATACCTGAAATTTAACAATCATGGTATACTCTTAACTACCTTTTTATGGATTGTGCAAAGAATACCAGTAAGGTCCTCCTACAGGAATCTTTGATTAAAAATAGTATAGGCAATGGCTAAGGTTTGTCCTTTTATTGAAAATAGTATAGGCAATGGTTTAGGCATGTTCTGGGACGTTGAACATATCGCACTACTACACTCTCTCTGATGTTTTTCAAATACATTTTAATGTCATAATTGTCCACGCCGCATCTCGCTGAATACGGTATGCTCCTGGTTCACATTCACACAACGGAAACCTACTGATATGATTGTAGTTCAGTTACTTTATTGAAAAGATTTCAGCAATGAGAACGGTAAAATGTGTCGTCTTGGATCTTAGGTTATTTTTAGGAACACGTTGGTATTATGCTAAAAAAAGTGCAACTCACAGTTTGTTATCAACATGATCGGGCTTTGGCATCTGATATCCCTTTGTGACCTCTGCAACCACCATGCCTTCTTGCCATCCGTCGTACGGAATTCCTCCTGTCAAAGGATAAGGACAAGTGCATGTCACATTTCTTAATTTATCAACTCTACAGAGACCGTGTCACACCTAAGTTACAGGAAGGAACATTACGTAAGAAATAAAGAATTAGCTTAAAGAATTTTACAGTGATGAATGGCCAAGGAGTAAGTAAAAACAAATCTTTATTAAAATAATAGTAATTAAAATAGCATCACTTCTCTAGCGCTTGCGCATTGCTGTTCTAAGCGTTAAATGTATTGACTGAACATAGCTTTGCTTACCAAGAGTAACTATCTCATACAGAACGATTCCATAGGACCACCTGTGAAGAGCATATCAGAAATATTCTACAATTAATCGCTGAGTGAATTTTTAACGTGAATTGATAAAGAAAAATCCAAAGATAGTCATTTCGTTAGTTTGGTGGATTAATATACATATCTATACTTACACATCACTCAAGGTAGAAAGTCCAGCAAGTTCTCCCAGCAGAATCTCTGGTGCAGTCCATTTGATTGGCAAACATCCCTGGAGAAACAACCAATAAACGTTTGCCGTACAAAACTTATGTCCTTTTTTTTTTCAAAACCATCTTTAAAAAAATATGAAGCTGCATAATGTAAATATGTTTCAATGAGAAAAGACAGCTAAATTTCTGGTTCCCTTATTGGTCAATCTAATGTTAGCCTTTATAAAGCTGTCACGGAAAAAAGAAAATGTAACTCCTTTCGCGAGACTTTACAAAAAACGTTAATGAAATTGACATATCCCGATGCCCAGGCCAGAGTATTCATTCTGTTTATTTCTACCTCTGTTTTGTTTTGTTTCTTTCTTTTAATTCAAAGTGAGCTATGAAACCCTGTTGGTAGTCGAGGTACATTAACATTATGCAGAGAATATGCTTACGCTTACAACTTTTTTTCCAGAAAAACCCCGCACTGAAGCAACAAAAAAGTGTTTTCTACCTTTTTGGCATTTCCATGGCCATACTTGAAGCTTTGATATGCCATACCAAAGTCCGTCACTTTGCAAACATAGTTTTTGTCAAGGAGAACGTTTCGAGCCGCCAGGTCACGATGGATAATCTATCAGAAGATAAGGAGCCAGAATATAAAAGCTAAGAAACGATAGGTTTATATAGAGCAGCGGCGAATCAAACGTCTGAGTATATTCGAACGAAAAAAGGGCTCAAACTAAGTCGGCCCCATATAATGATTTAATGCTGACAAAACCAAGATTTCTATTTTTTTTATTAAAAAGAAAATTTTACAACAGCGAAAATAACGTTAGTGATAACAATAATAATGATAATAGTAATAATGATAACAGTAATAACTATGCTAATAATCATAATAATTATGATAATAAAATGAAATCTAGAAATGGTAAACCAACAGAGGACCCGTTGTGTTCCAAAAAAGAAAAACACAGATGGTTTTCTCTTTACCTTAGTTTCCTTTTACAGATTTCTAGGGAGTTCCATTTTTCCCTTTATTCCTTTTTTTTAAGTGTCGCAATAAGGTTTGTACATGAATATATATATATATATATATATATATATATATATATATATAAATCTTTGTCATAGTCTATCTTTGCGGCATGGTGCTCGATGCGTTCGCAGAGCGTGGGTATATCTGAAGGTTGAACTAATCAATAAGACTTAACTTTTCTGTGACTCTGAGTTTCACGCTTACGCGACATTAGACAGATTTTAGAACTCTGGGTCACAGAAAGTTATGTCTCAGTGATAAGGTCAACCCTCATATATATATATATATATATATATATATATACATATATAAATAATAAACCTTGATTATAGTCTATCCTTGCGGTATGGCGCTCGATGCGTTCGCAAAGCGCGGAATATCTGAAAGTTGGACAAATCAATAGGACATAACTTTACGAGTTTACAGATCTTGATCTGTCTGATGATCGCGTAAGTGTGAAACTCAGAGTCACAGAAAAGTTACATCTTATGGATTTGTCCAACTTTCATATATATATATATATATATATATGTATATTATATATATATATATATATTATTCACACCACTTTTTGTCTGATGATCGCGTAAGCGTGAAACTCAGAGTCAGAGAAAAGTTGTCTTATTGATTTGTCCAACTTTCAGATATATATATATATATATATATATATTATGTATGTGTATATATATATATATTATGTATGTGTATATATATATATATTATTCACTCTACTTTCGAACAGCAAAAATGAAGCATCAGCGCATACTCGATCTTTGACAGCTACATAAGCTTAATTTTATACCATTCCAGATAATCATAGCTTTTGACTTATTTTGTTGACATATACTGTGACCTGTTAATGTCAACAAAAAGCATCATGGCTAAAAAAGGTCTTAGAGGTTTTATCTAAATTCAAAAGGACTCAAATATGTTGGCCAAAATCCGAGCTATTGAAAAATAAAAAGTTTAAATCTCTGAAAGATTTTTCTGAGTTAGAATTGACACGTGAAAAGTAATCTACTTACCCCTCGCGTTCCAAGGAACACCATGCCGGCGGCGATTTGTTTGGCAAACATCACAAGATCGTAGTTGGTCAAATCCTGGGCTCTTCCCTCACCAAGATAATACCGATCCCTCACCCCTCGGCATTTTCTCAGGTAACCAAGCAGGTCACCACATGGCATGTACTCCATGATGAGTATTGGGTGAACTTAAGTGACGTAAAACAAAAGAAAAAGTAAATAAACCCCACGTCAAGGCTCCTTACTGTATATATAAAAAAAAAATTTCCGGATGACTTTCTTCATAAGCAGTTTAGCCTACACGAAGGACTCATTTTTCGTTATCAACCCTCATCAAAATTTACTTTTAAAAATTTGCCATAGGTTAAAAAGCCGGTTAGCCCATTTAACGAGATTTCAGGCTATCCGACCGAGATCTTAGTAAATTGCCGATGGATTCATGCTCTTGGAGAAAAACAGTCTAGTTGCCAAAAAAAAAAAAGAAACTTCGTTCCATTAACATTTTATTTACGGAACTTATGTTAAGAGGTCCTGAGAGGGTTTATTCAGCATTTGTACCATCGTTAATAACATATACCTAGAAAAGATGCTGTACGCTTAGTACTTACTTTCTTTCGTAACACAGCCCATGAACTTTACAATGTTTGGCGGAACGTTTTCACCGATAAGTTTCCCCAGCTCAATTTCCCTCATCAGACATATCCTTCCTTCCTCTCCAGCAGTGGCTACAACAAAAGTATAAATTAATTCAGACACATTCTGATTAATGCATTTGTTCCACGCAAGTTCAAGCCAGAAAGAATCCGGAAGAGTTACAAACCTCGCATCTTCCTATTACCGTTTGAATGATAATTTTCGCAGCTAGCAGATTGCCCAACTCTCTGACCTCAGCCACGGCTGAGTTGACTGTGAGTACAAAGGCCGAATCGAAACCAGTTGAGGTTTGAATCCTATCAATAGTTCTTGCTTTCTTTAGTTTTACTATCAATGCAGATGCTTGACTTTGGTTCGGTAAATGTCTTTTGACAGCGAAAAGCACCGTGTAGTCAGTCTGTTAGACTGCCTCCTTCAACCCGGGATAATCAGTCACTAATAAGGGGAATAGGTCCAAAGGAAGGAAAAAAAAGCCTACTGGATTCAGCAGCGGATCAAGAGGGAGGAACCAACGTATTTGCAACACCCCCGGGGGGGGGGAATGTTGCGCATTGTGACCTTTTACACTACTTGTTGGAAACAAGAATTATTGCAGCAAACTTGTTTATTATCTTCTTTGTTTGTTTGCTCCTCCCCCCGCCTTCTCTTTTTGTTTCCCGCGCGTAGCCTTGAGTGAAGAAGAGGGGGTTGTGCGTTGGTCGGGAAGTAATTTTGGACCACCCCTTCCCTCCCCCACCCCCTCCCCAAATAAAACATTTTTATAACCACCCCTGAGATCAACATATTTATCAATAGAACACATTTAAGGAGGCTTACGCGTGAAACATTTAGCAGCGACTGTCCGATTTCCAGGTTGTCCATTTGGTGAACTCAGGAGAGCTCTCCACACGGCTCCGAACGCCCCTCGTCCAATGACATCTTGTAGCAGGACACGGTTCACCGCAACCTCCCACTCATCTACCTCTGCATTCAATGGCTCCATCTGAATTGCCTGCTCTTGATCAGGACTAAATATAGGAAATCAACATTGTATACTTTCAGGTTAAAAAAAAGAAGAAAAGAGATAAAAAGAAAAGAGAAATCAGAGGGTAAAAAAATTGATTTGGCGAGATAATCTCTCTTCCCGATAGTGAGAAAACAATGTTTTTACAAAACCAGGAGCATAGATTTTTACAAAACATATTAGTAATTATTGTTATTTAAGTACACTTTGTCAATCGGATGAAGTTCAACATTACTTTCGTCGTTTGTTAAAATTAAACAAGAAACAGTTAGTTTTAAAATCAGAAATTTTCCGCGCATTTCATTTTTTTTTAAAGTAATTAATCTATGAATTAATCTAACCGGAAATAGATGGAAGATACTAATGAGATAAAGAAATTAAACAAAGGAACTAATGAAGCGGATTCTAACAACACTTTATGAATGTTAATAATGCATCATAAACGCGATAAGCACGATAAAAGTAAAGGCACTGCGTCATCATGGTAATGGTGTATTTTTTTTTTCTTTTTTCGATGAATTTGATGAATAAAAGTTAAAATAGTTGACTTACAGAGCCATAGCTGCAATTCCAAATGATGAATTAAAGGGGATAAAGAAGGTAAAGCTTTGCATTAATTCATTAAATCGAATATTCTAATAAAATTTCTGTGTAATGGCAGTATAATTTGAATTTGCACAAATTAGGAGTGACTTCATATTTGCTGAGTTTATAATTGTTATCAAAACATATACAGATGTGAAAAAACTCTACAATTAGCATTTTTTGGCCGGACGCGAGTAATTCTTATAAAAATATCTCTACTCTTAGACTCTAGCTCAGTGTTCCCCATCCCTCCCAGCAGACATGTTAAATAAGTTTAAACATTTCCTTCTTTTACTTTCAGACAAAGAAATCTGAAATAACACGGAAAAATTGACGTCACCCGTCCTTCGACGCTTGCAGAAATACCAGAAAATTAGCGAAATGACAATTGCTACCACCACCGATCCACCAATGTAATACCACGAAGTGTTGAAACTTTGCATAGCTCGGGGCACTTGCTTAGCTGATTGTGTAAGATAAATATATGGCCATTAGACAAATCTCGATGGTAGTAAAAGTACTAACAAAATTCAAGTTTTACACCATAATGGTGTATCAGTCTTTGCTCTTTCGGATGGTGAGTCTCCGTCTTTTTTCCAAGTTACATTTATTGTTTTGCTAATCACAAAAACAGTTCTATTTAAATTTGGCTTAAACCTCAAAACCAAACGCTTTGTCAAGTTAAAAGTTTGATTAATGACATAAACTACAATATAGGATTTACCTGTGACATCGATCCAGAAGGAAGATTTCGCTTCGCCATAATCATTTCTAGCAGTACATTCATAATAGCCTTTATCTTCAAACGTCACTTGTCTAATAACCAAGGTGTTGTTTTTACTAAGTAGCACTCCATCCTTGGTCCAGTTGACAGATACTTGTGGATCACCTCTCAAATAACACTCTTTTGTAAATGTGGAGTCCAATGCAATGATGAGATTTCTTGACTCATTACTAACACGAGGTGGAACTGCAAAGTAAGGATGTAAACACAAATTACAAAATTAGAAACCACCCAGCCCCCCCCCCCACCCGCAAAAAAAAAAAAAATAATAAATAACAAAAAAGAAGAAGAGGAAGAAAATGAACCACTTTTTGATCATATCAAACAAATCCTTCCAAAAACCATGTCAGTCAGGCTATATTACTAACTTAGCCATGAAATCATCAAATTGTAAGAGTGGGAACAAAGGAACAATTGTAAAGACTTTCCAGTTCTTCGCAATGAATAATTAACCTGGTCCTCACTGGTGAATCAGTCGTAGATAATAGCTGAAAGCCCTTGCATTTTTTAATTTTTCTGATAGTTTTCCACAATTACCTTATCCTTAGCTCAGACCCAGACACCTTAATCTAGAGTCGGGCCCACTGACTATTGATCCACACACTGTAAACATATCAATTGCATGACTGATTTATAATACAGTTGTGAGCTCTACAAACACACCCTTTACAGAAATGTCAATGTCTTTGGTAGAAATGCCTGCTTCATTCTCTGCCTTACAAGTGTACCGCCCTTCGTCCTCCTTTTTTATCTCAGAAAAGAAGAGAGACAAACTCTGTCCTTGCAATGTATTATTCTTGAACCAGGTGATCAGTGGTTCAGGCCGACCCGCCACAACTTTACACGTCAAGTTTACACTGCTTCCTTCTATGATGCGATCGCTTGCTCCAGAAATATCCACTTTTGGTCGAACTAAAAGGTAAATTAATAACATTTTCTTGGAAAATCGGATGTATTCCTATATCATTTACACTGAATACATTAGACGACGTAACTTAATGAACATTTGATGATGACAGTACTAGTAGCGCTTAGTATGAAGTATAATCGTTTGTCAGATCACGAACCTTTCGAACTTCGTATTGAGGGCGCAGCCATGGGGAGTCTGGTGTCCGCCGTTATTGCTAATCTCCACATAAAGAGTCATAGGAGCAATCGATAACCTTATCATCTTACCAGCGAAGGATCTGGAAACGCTATGTATATGACACATTCACAATCTTGGTTCGCGAAAACGCTGATAGCTTCCCACAGCATTTGAAGAACCGAAAGCATGCCATTCACTTCACTGATGTTACAGATAGTAACAATACACCCGCCATCCATGGCGCTGCATCTTTAAAACAAGAACCCGTGGTTTACAAGATTCCATGTAGGTACGGCAAAGTTTACATCAGCAGAACAGGCAGACCTATGGAAGTGAGGTTAAACGAGCAATATCGCAGATCGAGAAACGACATGCCAAGACAAAGGCCTTTGCAGTTTCAGAAGACACCTGGAAACCACCTCCCCTGGACTGAAGTAGAGTTCATTGAAAGTGATCCTATTATTATAAATGCAGGGTAAAAGAGGCCATCCACATAAGACTTTGCCTGTTAGGACATAAATTGGACATTGGGGCAGACATCCCAGAAACATGGATGCTGACCACAAGAAACACAAAAACAGGATAACTTTGCGACAGCGGACTTCGGAAGAACATTTGGTCAAAGTGTGCCAATCGAAGCCTGTGTGGGATTCCAGCCAATCACAGCCAAACAGAGAGTTTCATAAGGTCATGCATATCTACCAACCTTATAGCACGAAGAAGACGCAATATGCAGTCAAAAAGTCGCGATCCATATCCAAAGTGACTTAATGGCCAGACAAACGATTATACTGCATTCAGAAAGTGAATTTGTCACTACGACCAACCGAAGTCGACTAAAGCACATTACCAGTTTGAAAAGAAACTATAAACTTCATCAAGGGGCACTTAATTTGAGTTATGACGAGGAACTGCACCTAGAAAAATAACCTAAGTCTAATTTTTTTAACATGACACCCTACTTTCAAACAACTAAAACAAACGAACATATTCACGATAAAATGTCGCCTCACATAGCTGCGAATATGAACACCGAAAAGGTTTTGAAATTGAGTAAATTAAATTAATCACATTTGAAGACCTGAATTTATGACCTTCTATATATTATTTCATTGGTCACTCACCTATAACTCTCACTAGTATGTCTTTATCTTTGCTTGTAACCCTCTTTGCTCCTTTAGTTTGTTTCATGGTACAAGTGAATGTTCCATTGTCTTTAGGCTTTACAGGACCAATACGCAGGCTGCCACTGGATAATGGAGTGAATCGTTTCGGGTCTAAGGGCTTTCCTCCTTTCTTACTCCAAGAAATCTGGGGATTTGGTTTTCCATCAGCACTACAGCTTATAATGCCAGACTCGTACGCAATAACGGTTTGTTGGTCCAACGTCTTTTCAGTAAATCTTGCTGTTGAAAGGAGTAATGAAAAGTACTAATATCGTAGCTACACTTTTGAAAGGTCAGAGGTGTACTTGTCTTACATGACATTGTCATGCATGTTAAGCCTATTTCTACAATATAAAAAGATTTGTTTTTTCATACCATTAATGTAGACAATGTTATATTGAACATATTCCAATCTCTGGCATTCATATATTCCTCCATCAGACAGCTGTACATCATCAATGAACAGATCACCATTGTCTCCAGCCCTGATCCTTTGAGAAGTAGAGTTTGTTATTTCAAGCTTTCGCTCATTGATGACCCATCTAGCGTGATTGGTTTTATTGTTTATAGAGCAATGAAGCTTTTCTCTGCTGCCAATATCAAAATAGAGTTCAACTCCTTTCAACACATTCTTGTTCTCTGCAAAAAAAAATGGTCCGGTGTGGAAGGTGTTGTCAAAATAAGTCAAATTTTGTGTAATTAACACAAGGACTACAAGAAGAGATAGAAAAATTGAATATATTTACCTGTACTAAAGCTTAACTTGAGAAATTTTTTAACTTTGTCGTACTGAAAACTAAGTTACATTACTCCAAACAAAGTCATATCAGCCATTATTAAAGTAATGTAACCTTTATATCGCATCCAAAAATGGTTATGTCACCCATTAAAAAAAATCAGGTAACCCTTAACTGAAGTCAAGTGATTTTATGAGCAGTCATATTACATTCATGAAAGTCGTGTACACCCTAGCTAACGTCATTTCACCTCAAGGCCAAGCTGAATCATCTAAAAGGAGGGTAAGTTTCTTAAGAGCTAATGTCAACATGCATCAGACAAGCAACGGCAAGTCACCCAAAATTTCCTTTCACTCCAACTTTCATATTTTGTAGACAATGTGTCCTAATAATTGTGGTGTAGTTTCTTTGTGAAAATATATTTTAGTTTTCGAGAAAATTTTTTTTCGTTCAACCGCTCAAATATGCAAATTTTCACCGTGAATATTGCCCTCACGTAACGAATTTATTTGACCTCCGATATTTCTGTCGACAAAATCCTTTGTTTTATCATCTTAACTTAATCCTCTCATTATTGAAGCTAGCAAAAAAATATTTATTTTTTGGTGAATATTTTTGTCCGACATACTTCCTCTATGTCGAAAAGTAGCACCAAAACAAAGACAGTTTAAACAATGACCGATATGATAGAATCTACTGAGCTTCTACAAAAAAATCAAAGTGCTCTGTGAGCAAACTCGTGAATTGACAGATGATTTACATGATTTTTTGGATTATGTTTAATGTTATCTGGTTTAGGGAATTTTGTGGTTGATTGTCATATTTAGAGTACGAGCAGTAGTTCAGTGTGCGCAAGAGCGAGTTAAAAAGGATGGTTATAAAGTTACTGTAAAAATTTCCTTGCGTTTTTGTGTTGTTCTATCGTGAGACGAACTCAAAGTCCAGCAAAATTTGCTTACTTTTCGCCACCGTTTATTGGCATAAATCACTACAATTTGTAAAAAAATCTAACATAACACTCTTACCTTGTTTATTAATGATTTTATAAGACCAATAAGCTCTTTCGGTTAATATATTACGCTTCGGTATTACTTCTTGCCAGGAGGCCAGGTCTTAAGTTGTGTCACGCAATAATTGATCCCAACACAAATGGATATTTACCCTGTATGAAGATTTTTTTTTATGTTGAATTGACAATATTTGAATGTCACTTTTGTGGCCACTAATCGTTGTTTCAGTAGCAGCGTAGCAGTTAAAAGTGGGTTGTTAGGTGCTGACAGGGTGGGTATTGACCGTAATTTTGCACAAGATGGTATTATGAATTTTCCAGAAGTCTTGCGCACTATCTGTGATACACGCTTTTTGTCATGAACGCAACCCCGGCTAGGCGGGTTACCCCACCTTGAGACGTTTACATGGCAAATTGTCACCCCGGCTGACAGGGTTACCCTACCTGGCAGACCGGGCAACGCGCCCAGGCGGGTCACCCCACCTATCATGTAAACATGATCAAAATAAAATATGAAATTATCGGGACAGGCGAATTGAGGTCCCCCACCTCAATGTAAACACACCCTAAATTTAGTGCCGGACTTTGAGTTCGTCTCACCATAGAACAACATAAATACACAAGGACATTTTTACAGTAACTTTATAACCATCCATTTGCCTTTTAAAAGCTTGAAGCTCAGTAGATTCTGTCATATCGGTCATTGTTAAAACTGTCTTTGTTTTGGTGCTACTTTTCGACATAGGAAAAGTACGTCGGACAATAATATTCACCAAAAAGTACATATTTTTTTGCCAGCTTCAATAATGACAGGGGATTAAGTTTAGATGATAAAACAAAGGATTATGTTGACAGGATTATCGAAGGTCAAGTAAATTCGTTACATGAAGTCACACAACTCGGGTAATATTCGGGGTGAAAATTTGCATATTTGAGCGGTCGAACGAAAAAAATAATTTCTCGAAAACTGAAATGCATTTTCACAAAAAAACTACACCACAATTATTAGGATATATTGGGCTACAAAGTATGCGAAATATAAAATATAAAGTATAAAATCTGCGAACAGTTATATGCTTGTCCGCGAGTTATACTTCAGCAGAATGTTTTGAGAAATGGTCTTCTGGTCATCTGTGTATTCAATTTACTCTGATTTCCCTCTACTTTAGAGGGTCAATGGGAAGAAGATTGACAACCACGAAAACCAGCATAACTAATCACACCTAAAAATTTAGTTGCTTACTTGGTTGACACAACGCTTGAGAACCCTTGTCATCCGATTGACATTGAGGTGGAATATTTAACTTCCCATCAATGCGATCGCATAATGCAAGTTCAAACTCTTCTCCGGTGCAAGAGACATCGGACATTGCAAAAGGTATTCCCTCAGCCTTTATGTCTGACCCAATAAATTCCGCCAAAGCCTCTTCAAAGCCAAGTTGACGACAAATAACTTTGACATCATGAAGGTCCCATTTATTCTTACATATCTTTGCCCATTTCCCCTTGTAAAACACTTCCACTCTTCCTCCATAGTCCACATTTGCGCCATTCAAGCGAACAGGAACTTATGAAATTACAAAAAGTTCAATCCGTTAAGATGGAAAACACTAATTATCAAGAATCAAGAATGCCTATAAATCACGAAATGATAAATAGTTCATGCCAGACTAAGTGTTTTGTTTTAAGGGAAATTCTGGGTGCAAATTATTCAGTATTCGAACGTTGGCCGCATCGTTCGTTGTCACGATGTGGTTCCTCGCTGCAATGTTTTACGACAAACCTCTTTTTCATTGCTTCATAACTGAGTTTTAACTTGTAAAACTAGATATTTTTTTCAAAATATTTGGAAAAATTCAAGACATGTTTTCTTTGCCCGAAAACGTTTACTTTCGGAGAACACAAAAGGGTAATTTACATTTTAAACTAGAACCTCATTTTTAAAGCATTTCTCACGGAATAATCTAGAAAACTGCGCAGCTAGGTTCTTCTCTCGGCAGTAATTCAACTATAATCGTCTTAGGGTGTAAACAATAGAAACTCACTAGATTTTTAGCGATAGATACCTTTTTAGAACCTAAAAGATACCCGAAGATGAACAATCATTGATCTCGGGAAAGTTTTCTTCCCTGGAGTGTGAGTAAATCTATCAAGTTACCATCTTTGGAGATTATGTGGATATTACATGAGTGCAATTTATTATTACCTTTGCAAAATTGTTGTTTCTTTTTCAAGTTGTTTTGACATGTGGTGGGAATGGTACAGTTGTAGTGGGTGGACATCTCGGAAGCATTGCCACGTTCTGGGTACCATGTGCCATTAGCATACACAACGTTGCTATAGTAGCCCATGGCCATGCAGGTTGAATTTTCATCTGCTTCATCCCATTGACTGGTACACAGCTTTTGCCAGCTGCTGTTTGAGAATATCTTCATTGTACCGACAGATGGGTTCTTCTCTGTTTCAAAACGCAGGGGAAATTCTTCAAGTATAAAAAAAAAATGATAAATAAGGATAACAATAAACAGCGTGAACTACTTCAGTATAGGTAAATTATTGTGTTGATGATGTCCCCATATAATTACCTAGTAACAGTAGTCCTTGCTTTGTTGAAATATTTCTTTTCAGTTTATGGTGGAAGAATTTCCTTTCTAGCTAACATGATTTTCTTTGCCAGCAGGTCAATGCCAAAATGTTCTTTAGCAACTGAGGCCCTCGCATTTTTAAACATATTTCTTATCATTAGATGATAGTTAGCATTACCGCATTAGCTAAAAAGGTATTGCTTACGGGCAGTCCAACGAAATTTGTAATCGCCATTGCGCAGATAGTGCAGACTTCTTACAGAGCGACCACAAATATCAGCGAAAGCTTGCTCCGAGAATTTAGTACCTATATTGTAGTACTAATGATAGTGGAGACTTGTTTTGTTTCTTTCAAGAAAAGCATAGTGAATTCCATACATATACAGAGTTTGTGCATTCATGAAGGATTTCTCACTTATAATGAACTCCTAAATTTTGAAGTTTGTATGTTACCTTCTTGGCAACTGAACATGTTGTTACATTCTCTTAGCATTGCTCCGGTCCCATCGCAGTGTTTCCCACCATATGCTGGTTCGGGATTGGCGCATTCTCTCTGTCTTGTTTGTATACCACCAACTGGCTTGGTACAGATACTCCAGGAGTTCCACTCACTCCAGCCACCATCCACTAACAATGTTGTAAACAAAAACATTTGATAAAAAAGCACAGACGACGTGTTTGGATCATCTAACAAAATAAAGTATGTAAGAGAGTGGTGCAGTCTATATTTCTACCTTTCTCTATAATTACTTTTAATGCTTATGTTAACATTTGGTTACGGTAGACTCATTGATTTGGTATTTGGCGCGATGACGTAGGGTTTGCAATAAACTTATCGAGACACGCTTGTAAGAGCAAAAATGTAATTTGAAGGCGATAATGCGATGGGGAATCCGTGCCGGTCTGTCTTTACCTTGATTCTAATGTTGATAGTTTTCAGACAGACCCCGTCCTTTATGTGCTAACACTCTGACGTGTATAATCAGTTAATGTACAAATGCACGATACACAAACTATAGCTTAAAAAACAACATTTTAAGCCCCTCCTTTTTAGGGGGAACGGAAACAAACACTACGGGAAACCGTAACAAATTTCAATTATGAGTCTTAGTAGCTTTTCGAGCGAATTATGCAGCAGAAAAGGCCTTCCTAAAAACTCACTCTCACCTTCAGATCGGGTGAGATCGAAATGGCCTGCTCCTTATTGGTTTCCTAACCAACATCAAAGACCAATAGGAATAATGGAAACTCGATCCTCAAGCCTAACGATCTACGTATAAAAAAGTCACAGAAGCAATTTCCACTCGGGAACGGAATTGAGAAAACCACTCTACCTTTCCCTGAAAGACCTTGCTATTGCAACACCATCTTCAAACAAAAGCTGAAGAGACTCGTGAAGAGTCGAAACCGTCGATATTGTTGTAGCCACTATAAACAGTTGCACTAATGTCCGCCTTTGACATCTCTCTTACGGAATACTTTACACAAAGTCTAGGTGAAGAAGACGAAAACTATATCTCACGAGAAAAAACGTGTAAATAGGCAACCGCTCAAAGGAAAGCACTCGGCGAACATTATAAAAAATACAATGACAAAATAGCCAAATTAAGGAATGAGATTCTGACTCTAGAGAGCTTATTTATACACTTAAAAATAAAATAGGTGGAAATTATAAGTGTGCTTGTTAAGCAGTATACTATCTAGATTGACGATGAATAAATACGTGGGCAGACATTATGAACTAATTTATTCATACCCCCGAGCACGCGTTGATACGGGAACTTTAGAATGTGATGCAATCATGCGCGAGTAACGCAACGGTGACATGACATCCTCCCTCGCCAAAAAAAAATATATATATATACATATACAAACAAATATTGTCTCCAAAGTCCAAGACAAAATTAATGTGACCCATTGTTCAATAATAACAAGATAATAACAAGAAAAAGAAGAAAAATGTTACGAAAGGAAGGCACTGAGGATATGGAGTGCTCTTGTGAGGTTGTACTCTGTCAGCCCACTTTCTAGTAAGGTTCGTTGTCATTAAACTTCTTTGACTTTCGGGTCATTGTCTGTCAACCAACTTACTGGGATGCCGTGGCGGGCAAAGTGGGCTTTGGCGAGCACGACGATGGTAGTGGATTGAGTGTTTATCAGCTGGTCCAACTCATAGAAATCACTGTAATGGTTTACGATGACTAGGTACTGCTTATGTTGGAACTCAAATATATCTTGCAAGATGACCTGTCAAGGTCGTGTAGGGACAGGAGGGGATAGTATGGTCAGTGGTGGCTTGCTTTCCACACTGGGAGCAGGTAGGGCATGACTAAAAACATGCTTCTATGTGAAACGAAGGCAATATTCTGCTCCCCGATGGCAGTAGTGGATTTTGCTCAGCATACTTGGTCTGAGAGAGGTAGGGACGATGGCGCGAGTAGACTTAAGAAGAATATCATTTACAATGTTGAGTTATTTACGAACCGTTGAGGGGGTAATGCTGCATCAAGTGCACGTCAGGGCATGATGATGTGGCATTGCCTAATTGCTCGCGAGTGGTATTGGTGAGGGCCGGTGAGGTCCAAGCGAGCAAGATGAATGTAAAACACATGGTAGGTGTCCGACATGGATGGGTTGACGGCTTCGTCTTGACATGGGGCTCTGGATACTGTGCCTGCTAAATGCAAGAGAGAACCTTTTCTGTACACGATAGTAAAGTTGTAACGCTGTAGGAGACGCAACATCCTCTGGAGACATTTAGGCGCTAAGGCGAGATCCTTCTTGAAGATCGACTAAAAGGGTTGGTGGTCTTTATAGACTCTGTGTTGCATTTTCCCAAAAGCCATTGCTCAAGCGTGTTGAGGGCTTCAACAATAGGCAGGGACTCCTTTTCGATTTGCGCATAGCGCTTCTCGGTAGTGGTTAGGCCTTTTACTGAACGTAATAGGTCGTAGAGAAGACAAGTCAAGGGCGCTGCTACTGTGAGGTTTGATTGGTTGTAAAAGGGCAGCTCCTTAGCCATAGTCAGAGGCGTCCAGTTGAAGGATCAATGGCGCAGTTACGTATGCCAGGCATGCTGCAGAGGTGGCTGGGACTTTTGCTGAATCAAAGGCTTGCTGGTGCCTTGTTGACAATAGGAACGGTATGTCCTTTTTGCTGAGGTTGCATTGAAGTTAAGTGACGCTGCTAAGTTGGGAACAGAATTTTGCCAGGTAGTTAATAAACCCAAGCAATCGGTGCACTGCTTGGCTTTCGGTTGGAATGAGCATGGCGATTATAGCTTTAATTGTAACAGGGTTGGGCTGGAGGCCATCCATAGTGGTAACATGGCTCATGACGGTGGCTTTGCAGATATGGAATTTCATCTTGTTGACATTCAGCTTGAAATGACGTTGTTCAAATCCCTCAAGCACGGCGATAAGGATGCGGTCGTGGTCGATTGGACGTCATTGGCGCTTCAGCCGGGGATTAAGATACCTTCGGTAATACTAAAGCCTAGGAGACCATCAAGCGCCACATGAATTTGGCGCTGCCATTCTTTGGATGCAGAGGATATGCTAGATGGTTGCCTAATCCCTCTGTAGCGACCCCATGGTGTGAACATCGTGGTCATCAGAGATGATCTTAAGGACAAGGGTATATTTTGCCTATTTGACATCTTTTCCTTCCATGCAGCTTGTGGATGTTTTCTTCCAAGGTGGAGATGATATACTTTGGACATTGAATGGCTTTATTGAGGGTCTGAGAAGGGTCTAAGCAGCTCCGCATTTTCTCGGTTTGGTGGGGGTTGGTTCTCGCTTTCGGTTGAGATGCCCTCACCAGCTGGCCAGTGGTTTCATACACACCCAGGGCCGCTTTGATCGCATCCAGCTTCGAAATGGGCTCGCAGTGATTAGGGGCATGGATAGGTTTGACATCTGGATCCAGTTCAAAACCGACGGGTGGGCCGTGGAAGCCCAGACCTTGAAAGAGTGATGTCCAGTTCTTGGAAATAAATCCCAGAGTTCAAGTCCCTAGTGTAGGCCAGACTCGCATTAACGTATCTGGGGGTGGTGGAGCTGCTGATACCTGATGGCTGTCAGGTTCAGTCGTTAGTGGCTGGGGAGGGTCACTTGTGGAACATTTCCTTATGAAGTCCGCACGTAGAGTTAGCGCATCAAGTGTTTTGCTTACCTCTGTACTGAGTAAGGCTGGTTGGTCAGTGTTAATGACTTGAAAGGTGAGGTCGTTCGTGAATTTACCTTTACTGGCTGGGAGGGCAAGTTGACCAATGAGTCTGGTTGGTAGACTGTCATACAGTAGTATCACAGTTTTTTTATTAGTCCCGGCGCATGCTGGAAAGGTGGCAGGATGGAAGTGTGTTTCAAGAGGCTGCCGAATCTATTTGCAAAGGAATTTTTGCTCTGGTTTCTCCAAAAGAAGCAAGACGAAATGGCCTTTGTCAGAGGGTGGGGCTGTTGTAGTGACATCAGTGTTAGGGGTTGCCCGCTTTAGAGGGTGAATGAGTTCTCATACTGTATGCCTTCCTTGGGAAGGGTGTAGGAGTGCTCTTCTTGTTCCACCAATCTCATGTGTTCCCGTCTGGGATCCGGTGGGGTAGGTTTATGGAAGACAGGTTTGGAGGCTCGGTTGTCTGGCAACCTGTTGACAGACGCCTGCAAAGTGATCAGTTTTGTGACATCAGCTACAAGTCTCGCCTGATGCTGAGCATATGTCACGGTAGTGTTGCCACTTGGTGACATGGAAAAAGCAAGATCTGTCAGGGTAGGTTCCAGGTCTTGATCTGCCCGAAGGTTTTTTGACCAATTTGTGCGTTGTCGTGGAAGTGGGAGAGTGAACTTCTTCTTTTGTGGTAGAATTAGCCAAAAGCTTCTTTGTATGTTACGCCGCCTCAAACGATATAACTTGATTCACCACGAAAGCCGGGGTGAAAGGGGGATCCTTCGGTTTCCGTTGGCCATCTCTGTGAAATATGTCTTCTCGGAAGCGACTGAAGGATTCGTTGAGACCGAAGAGAAACTTACCCCTAATAAATTTTTCCGTGTTCACGCCAAACGATCATCGCCCGGTGGCAGTACGTATAGCGGTTTCTTACGTTGAAATGCAGGTTTGGTCTGCTTGTGACATTTTTGCTCAGAAGTGGTAGCAGTCTTGCATCAAACTTCATGCACCAGCGTAGTGTTCTTTGATTTTTTGATGCCAAATCCCGTGTTTTCGAGCGTCATCGTTCGGTATCCTGGAAACTGTGTAAGGTATCCCATTCAGTTGCAGGAATTGCTAACTCGAAGGGTCTCCCAGCGACGATGTAGTGGTCCCCAGTCTTGGTGAGTCTGCTTCTAGCGGGGTTTTTGTAGCCTTCGAGTTAACATTACTCATGAAATCTGGTCTCCCAGTAACGGTTTTGGTCACGGTTTGGTCGCAAGGCTTCTACATCGAGGATAAACTTTTCGTGCTTCCGCATAGTGCAATTGTAAAATGTTGTTAAGGGAAAAATTCATGTGTAAAATTACTTAGTTCAAGTTTTGTTTCAATTCGGGTTTTGTTTTTCGCGTTTCAATTTACTTCTTGTATTCTGTTCGTTCTTTGACTCGACCGGTTGAGCTATCAAGAAAGATGAATGAATT